CTGAGCAAACTGGCCTGACTGAGCCGTCTCTTGTTCATGGAGGGTTGGGCCCAACCAAAACCACAGCAAAATCAAAATGGCTTGGTTGGAAGTCTTGACCATTTTGCTTTTTCCCAGCCCGGGAAAAAGCAAATTGAAAGTGTAGACCATTTTGCTTTTCGCCGGGCCGGGAAAAAGCAAATTGAAAGTCTGAGTCAAATTGGGAAAAAGCAGCTTGTATCAGGTTTACAAACTAAAATCAAGGAGCTGTGGCCTAATGGATAAGGCGCCAGGATCAGAAGCAGAAGGTTCTGGGTTTGAATCTCCCCAGTTGCAAATTATTTCTCCGGAGCGCTTTAGTGGGAATCTGTTTTCCCAGCTAGCAAATTGGAAGTCGAGCCTTTTGCTTTTTGCTGGCCGGGAAAAAGCCAATGGAAGTCTGAACCATTTTGCTTTTTCCCGGGCGGGGAAAAGCAAAATGAGTCTGAGCTGTTTGCTTTTTCCCGGCCCGGGAAAAAGCAAATTGGAAGTCTGAACCGTTTTGCTTTTTCCCAGCCCGGGAAAAAGCAAATTGGAAGTCTGAGCCTTTTGCTTTTTCCAGGCCCGGGAAAAAGCAAATTGAAAGTCTGAACCATTTTGCTTTTTCCCGGCCCGCGAAAGAGCAAATTGGAAGCCTGAGCCTTTTGCTTTTCCAGGCCCGGGAAAAAGCAAATTGGATGTCTGAACCATTTTGCTTTTTCCCGGCCCGGGAAAAAGCAAATTGGAAGTCTGGCCCTTTGCTTTTTCAAATTTGAAGTCTGGACCATTTTGCTTTTTGCTGGCCCGGGAAAAAGCAAATTGGAAGTCTGGACCATTTTGCTTTTTCCCGGCCCGGGAAAAAGGAAATTGGAAGTCTGAACCATTTTGCTTTTTCCCGGCCCGGGAAAAAGCAAATTGGAACTCTGAGCCTTTTGCTTTTTCCCGGCCCGGTAAAAAGCAAATTGGAAGTCTGAACCATTTTGCTTTTTTCCCGGCCCGGAAAAAAATTGGAAGCCTGAACCATTTTGCTTTTTCCCGGCCCGGGAAAAAGCAAATTGGAAGTCTGAGCCTTTTGCTTTTTCCCGGCCCGGGAAAAAGAAAAATAGGAAGTCTGAGCCTTTTGCTTTTTCCAGGCCCGGGAAAAAGCAAATTGGAAGTCTGGACCATTTTGCTTTTTGCCGGCCCGGGAAAAAGCAAATTGGAAGTCTGCCCGAGAAAAAGCAAATTGGAAGTCTGAACCATTTTGCTTTTTCCCGGCCTGGGAAAAAGCAAATTGGAAGTCTGAGCCTTTTGCTTTTTCCCGGGCCCAGGAAAAAGCAAATTGGAAGTCTGATACATGTCCAATTGCTTTTTCCCGACCCTTGGAAAGTTCTTTGTCGTGGGAAACTGCGCAAGTATGGCGAAAGGTTCGCATTGTGGACGCGAAAGACGACAGGGCCAAACCCCACCCCACCTCAGACTTCCAATTTGCTTTTTCCATGGCTGGCTCAGACTTCCAATTTGCTGTTTCCCGGGCGAAGAAAAAGCACTTCAGTGCGCGTGTTGCACTCCTTCCACCCAAACACTTGTTTTGG